TACAATTTACAAGAAAGCCTTTTCTTCCATTTGTGTTAGATTATATGGGTGGATTATTATTTTTTAGGAAATGGTAATCTTAATAAGTGAGGGTAAAACCAAGAGCTTGAGGGGTAGACACGTGCATTGTTTCTTTGTATTTTCCTTAAGCTGATGAAAACAATTTCCAACTGATAAATTGTAATGACATTATAAATAATCTTTCATCTTCTTGGGTGGTCTGTGGGATTCACATAAATGGAGGGTTGAAAACCTTTTTTGTTTCTTTGTTCTTCCCGTGTCATTAGTATAGAAGGAGACCATAAAAAAGTGTAGCCAGAAGGATTTTAACTATTACTGAGTCAACATTTGACAGTCACACTCTGTTCTGTCATTTCATGCATGTGCTTTTTATGAGTTTTATAGCTTTGTAAGCTTTATTTCACGGATGTCCATTATGATAGCTGATCCATAACCCATTTCTCCCTTTGTGTATGTGTGTCTGGTGGGGAGCAAAGCTCATCACTTAGATGAATCCCAATTTCAAGGGGTGATAAAAGAACCATCTACTGATGAACTGTTTAATTCAGGCTTAGGTATAAGGAAATATCTATTACCTCTTCTAAAGTACAGTTTGTGTGGGGGTTTGTGTGTGTGTGTGTTGACTCTTCTATTAAATATCAACAAAGGATGTACATTTCAGACTTTACAAACTGTGACTTTTAGGTATTTTCAGTATTAGTTGAAGTAATTGGAATAGGAGCAAATTTCAATTTAAATATCTGGTAGACTTATATGATGGAGCTGTAAATAATCATGTATGAGCATCAAATGGAAAATTTTTTAAAGATTAAATATATTATTGTAGCTGGTGGACAGGAGAAAAAATAACCCTCAATAATTTTTAGGGTTGATACCATTACTCTCCTCTTCAACACATTAGTCCACTACTTGGCCACAGAGCATAGAAGATGAGATCATAACCATGTCAGAATCCTTAATACACATTGAACTGACTATTCCTATAATTCTTATATGTCAGAAAGAATCTTACTCTTTTTAATTACCCTCACTGACTTTTTTACCTAATAATAAAAGTATATCTTAAATTTTTTAACTAATGAGAATATATCATATATTTAAACCCCATTTTACAAATTAGATTCTGGGACACAGGGAAGATAATTAGTTTGTGTAAAGTAATACAGCTAATATATAAGGCAGTTATACTAAGACATGATGTCCCAGATCCCCAAATCTATTATTTTCTATATGGTTATTGCCTGCATTTACAAATATGTCGTCTTCCCATTAATCCCTCTGGCCTTTTGCCATTCAGAGTGTGCTTGATTTAGAAAATACAGATCTTTACTGCCCACTTCTAATCAACTCATTGATCACATGTCTTTAGATATTTTGCAGTTCTTCTTGTTGATTGCCACAATGGACTGGTATCATGTACAAATATACATGTGCTGTTTGCAAGTCATTGGATAAGCCACAAAACCCAAGACCAGCTGCCAAATCCCCTAAGTGAATATTAACATAGTAATAATAGTTCTTCGAATGTTGACTTTTAGTGTTATGAATTTGACCCCAAGAAACTATATGGTCTAAAACTTTCTTTTCTTCTGCAGATGAGATACCATTCATTTGGATCTTTGTACAAGTCAATATAGAATCCTAAGATTTTCAAGTAATACCAGATTTTACCTAATGTTTCCCACCTTAGTAAACCCATGCAGTTGTATAAAATGTGGCCAGATAAGAATCATCTTTCCAAAAGAAGTCTAGTAGTTACCTGATTACTAGTTTTTATTCAAAAGAGAAAGCATATAGGTCAAGACTATTTAATTTTGAGTACTTTGTAGTAATAAATCTGTTTGCGTCTTCTGCTCTCAAATTACTCAGAGCAATAATTTGGCAAGTATTTCTTTAAATGTGTTTGTCTTTCTTTGGTTTTTGGTTTATATCTAATAGAAAAAAGGTAACAAAAAAATCAGTGAATCTTGCCCGTTTCAGATCAGTGCCTGGATGGTATTAAGAGAGCAGTGAAGTGTGAGGTTTGTGTTCTAGAACACTGATCTTAAAGTGGAGGCGCAAAGTACTCCTTTTTTTTATAAATTACTGACTAATGTGGTTTTTATTGGAACCCATTGGAACTAAGAGTATAAATTTGGTAAAAATTGTCACCTCTGCCCATCGACATTTTTTTCTGTCTCCCCAAACTCAATTTTTTAGTGTTTCCTATTCACCATTTTCCTATTTATCCCCTTCCTGCCCTCATTTTGTTTTAACTGCCTATATTTACAAAGAATTAATTTGACAATAAGAGCATTCTCAGTAATATTTGCACACTTGAATAGAGGCTTCTGGAAAGGGAAATATTTAACCCAAGGGACAGAATCTCAAATGGTTGAGTTTTAGACTGGTAGTACATACGTAGCCTTGTGGGAGGGGAACAGCCTGAAACGTGTGGGGCTGGAGAAAATGAGGGTATTCCCAATGTGCTAGCATTTGTGCTTTCTAACATTTGGCTAATACTTTCTTCTCCTGCGTGCCTAAACAGATTGAATTTAAACCTTGGGAACTATTCTTAAATCGGCCTTTTTCTGTTGGTGGTTCAGTATATTATCTAGACTTCTATCCACATGTAGATTTATATCTACTTTTATACATAAGAACTAAATAAAAAAATTTACTACAGGATCAATTTTTATATGGAAATACATTAACAACTATTTAAAATATAAGCACTACATTTTGATAACCTATATTTACCATGTAACCATTTTCTTATATCCTCCATACCTCAATTTTTTTATGGCCTTCTGACTTTATTTTCCGTGAAGGCTTCTAAAGTGTGGCAGTGTTACCATTCTGATTTGCATGTGTTTTAATTAAAGGCACCCTATTCTCTAATTCCTCTAATTTTCCCTGTTCACATGTCTAAGAATTAGCTTAAATGACTACGGAAAATGTCACAAGAGAGGTACATTCTACCATGTTAACTTCTACTATCTCCCACTGACATCCTCTTAAGAAGTATTGTAAATTCCACTTTGGGGTAACTAATTGAGTCATTTTTTATAGTATGTGCTTCAGACGTAGATGATTAGTGATCACTATTGTAAGACCTAGTTATAGCTTTCCTACCCATTAGTTGCTCATTTTGCCTCTTGGTAAGATGGTGCAAGATCTTTACAGATGAACTCAAAGCCTTAGAAGTCACAACGTTTCATTATTTTTCTACTCTGATCACCTTCATTTTTCCTTCGCTTCTTGAAAGACTTTGCTTCAGAATGAAAAACTCTCTAGAATATATGTAGCATAATTTTCCTATACACTGCCAAATCAAAACCTGAGAGGTGATTATGCCCAGTATATTTCCCAAAGACAGAACCGTAGTCTTCATTGACCCGGGGACTCTCATATCATGTTGATGGAATGTGATTTTTTTATGTAACTGTCTCCTACTTCAACAGTTACATTTACTATAAAGAGAGTCTGCTGTGCTGGTATCCTTAGAGCTCCTGAGCTCAGTTAAATATATACAGCAGACTCCCAGCAAAAGAAAATCTGGAACATATACAGCAGTTGAAAATACCAACATTACACACAAAACAAATTGGGACAGGCTCTACATTTTTAAATTGATAATTTATTTCAATGTTCACACTAGACAATCTTATAGAACTAAAGTAGATAAAATTATTTTATTCCCAGTTTCCCTACTGTATTTCATAGTGATTTACAATTTTAAAATATTTTTCATAAGTCACATACAAAATTTGACATATAGAGGAGAACCGAGGCCACTAAAGTAAGGGAATTTTTTATCCAGTAAGTACTGTCATACTGTCAGAGATTGTGTAGAGGTAACACATGCACTGTATTCATTTCAATACCCTTTTGGCTATTGGTGGAAACATTACTTAGGCTCTTCACTTGTAATACAATTATCTTAAATAGTTGATTATTTCCTGTGACTATTTTATGGTGTCAATAGCTGTTCTGCAGTGTATGTGGTTAACTTGTTCTGTGTTCTCCAGAAAACAAGGTGACTAGTTATAAAGAAATATGAGTGAGTTTTACAAAATCCAATAGATGGTTTTCTTAAAACTATTTTGGAACCACATTGTCCTCAGAGCAATGATGGAGCGTGCTAGAGAAAGTTGTAGACCTTTCATTGCATGCTCTTTCTGTTCTTGAACTCACCCAGTTAATTTTGAAGTGGTTTAGTATCTCCTGTAGTTTGTATTAAGCATTATATTTTCCTTGAAAATAATTTAGTTTGCAATGTCATGTTCCCCATGAATTCAAGCCATGCACTGCATGCTTTTAAATGACTTGATTTCTTTGCAGATCTAATTTTGGTATATTTGTATTTCAAATAATTCGCCAACTCAATATTTTGGCTTAGCAATCCAAACCAAATTGTAGTCCAAGTAGCAGGCACTCACATTGAATGTACAGAGCCTTGACAAGCAATTAACAATGAATATTTAAATGTCTTCATTACCCTTTCATGAGGAATGCAGATGGCATTTAAGGAGATGGCAACCAGAGGGCAGTAGTCTTGAATTATGTTCCTATCAGGTGGTCACCTAACTATCGGAAGACTTTCTCTGGGCCCCTTGCCACTTCTATCCTTCTACTGTCTGTCTAAAAATAAAGCAGGCATTCCAAATGCTACAAAACAGGTTTATTTTGTGAAATTTCTATGTACATTTTGTGATTTGGGAAGGTTATCTCCAAGGATCCCGGCATTTATCTTTTTGGCATACCAAATCCAAATGTCAAAACTGTAAAGGGGATTCTTAGAATCAGAGTGTCTTCAAAAATCCTGTTGATCATTTGCTTTAATTACATAATGTGCTGAATGTGCAAAGGTGAATAAATCAACATCCCATCCCTTCTCGAAGCTGATGTATTATCTATGGTCCAAGAAAAATGTCTTTGAATAATTAAAATTTCCAAATTGAGCTCTCATTATAAATTCTTTTTTTTCTTTTTTTCAGGAAAAAACAACACTGGAGAGTCTGACTCAGCAGCTGGCAGTTAAACAGAATGAAGAAGGAAAGTTTAGCCATGCCATGATGGATTTCAATATGAGTGGAGATTCTGATGGTTCGTGAAAGTTGTTCATATGCATTCCAGTAGTGTGCAGAAGTGTCTATTTAGGGCCAGTTGCAACTACTAGAAAATATACAAGACAGTCACTCACACCTGATCATTAGGAGAGGAGCTCGTGTGTACTGAGCAGGCCCCATGAGCCAAGCACCGGCTGAGAGCTTTGCATCAATCATTTCATTCATCCTTAGCACAGCCTGTGAGAGAAGCAGTATTACAGATAAAGAGATTGGTCCTTCAATTTTGAATCATTTTTCCCAAGGTTACAGGGCTGTAAGTGCCAGAGGCAGATCTTGGATTCAAATGGAATGATTCCAAATATTCTCAATCACCATCTACCCTGCTTCTTGCTCTCTATTCCTTATACTTGAAACAAACTTTTCAGCAATTTGTATCTATAGGCTCATTTTCCGGTTTTCGTTTGTCAAACCCAGACCAGGACACATGGCTCAGAGGATGTGTTTAGGATGGTTTCTTGCATTTTGAAACCTTTCCCTCTTATACTATCTATCATACAGTGAGGTGTCCTGCCTACCCCTCCCTATAACCCAACTAGAACTCCAGCCACAAGTCCGTTGCCTTCCTCACATGCCTCAAGACTTCTGTTGTCTGCATCTCTGAACTTCTAACATCCACAGTGACAACTAAATAAAATTATACTGTAATTTAATAGCTCAAAAAAAGGAAAAGAAAAAAGTGCTGTTACACAAAGCCCCAGCTGGAAATGTCCTTCCAGTATCAGATGACATATATGTATTATAAGAGCACTGTCTTCCAACTTATTACTATTCCAGAGGAAGTTGCCTGCCTATGGAAAAGCCTGTGCCAGGACAAACCATTCTTTAGGACAGAGGAGTACATTTGACTCTCCCAAAACACACAATGCCAATTTGTGCCTTGGGCCAATTCTTTTATGCCCAATTCTGCACTGTACAAGGGACTAGCCAGACTTGAGCATTTAACCAGATAATTCTGTCAAAACTGAATTTTATTCAACTGGACAGCCAAGAAAAGGCTGTGTTTTTCTGGGCTATTATATCCAAACATTTCCTTCTATTTTCTACTTTGCTTGGATAAGACAGAACTGGCCTAAGTACATACAAAGAGCTTGTTTAGGTTGATGAAGCCACATAACATTCATTTTATCGCTTATGTTGCTGTAAGGTGTAAGAACAAGAAGAGGCAGATGTGCAAGTGATCATTTGTGAGTTACAAACCCATTTTAGAAAGATGTTACCATATATTAGCACTCATTTTTGTCAGTAAAAAAACAATTACTGGTATAACATATCTCATAAATTTTAAGTTGTATCAGCATGATAAAATATATGCATGATAATCAGCTTAAAACATCAAAATTTTGTTATGTTGTTTCTTAAATTCAGCCATGCTTATATGCAAAATATTTGCCAATCTTCATGAGACCAAAGAGCATATAATGAATGAAAAATAATGAGAAACTCCATCAACATAGGTGCTGTGTGTTTTGGTTTGCTTCTGTAGAGGTCTTCAAATCTGGGCCATTTTGGTTCATTCTTATTCCTTCAAATTAAGAAATGAAGAAGAATGTGAAGGAGGAAAAACAATGTTTTATTAATAATACATGCTCTAAGACTTCCAAATTATTTTTGAAATTTTATGCTATCAATATTCTCTCTTCCACCTTTTATAATGATAACCCTGGAAAACTTAGTGTCAGAGTTTCATATGCACTCTCTCTCTCTCTCTCTCTCTCTCTCTCTTTTTCTCTCTCTTTCTTTCTTCCCACTCTCTCCAGACATAAGTACCTATAGAAGCTCTTTGGTCTGCTGTAGCTATTCTACGAAATCACAGAAAACCTAGAGGAGTGACTGTAGCTCCATAAGGTTCCACTGTGACTCTTGGACTCTTGGTTGTGTTTTATTATCATGAATCTTGTTGATTGAAATGTAACTTTCAGTGGGTCTCTGGATAACTTAGACATTAGGGGAAAATTAAGGGAAATGAATATATTATTTTTATCTTAAATGTGGCTGTTGACTTTTTAAGAAACCAGAGTAATGGAACTATTTATTTGCCCATTTTCCCATTTTAAATATCTCTTGGGGTGCAGACTGTCATTCTCCATCAACATATTTGATGCACTTATTATTAGCACATAATTTCAAAGAAAATCCAGACACATTATAGACCATATTGTACTTTAACCTCCAAATTTAATCTACCAACATTTCAATTTTATAACTGCAAAGAGAAGGCATGAGTGCTTTATCTTCTGATAGTCCTTAGGTGGCCGAGACACCCACTTACCTGTACGCATCCATTCTGTAGAACACATTAGTGTTTCATAGTTTTGTGTGCTTCTCCCCCTATTTAATATATCTACAGGGCTTCCATGTCTATTGATCTCATCTAACTCTTCTCTTTCCAATTTGCATCAAAGATCACATATTCAGGTTTCTTTGGTGATCTTAAAAGTAAATGGTGAAATAACCCACCATTGTAAGAAAGGGAAATGCACTATGAATGGATTAAAAATATAACATTTGCCACCACAAGCCTTATCACAAAAACTTCATAAACAAGCATCTGTCTTAAGAACTAGAAGTACCATTATCACATGTACTGTTTATTTTCAGATATTTTAATAGACTAAAAGACAGTAATGAAAGGAGTAGAAATGTAAAAAGTTTTAACACTAATGTGAAATAATATTCCCTGGTTTTAGGAAGTGCTGGAGTCTCAGAATCAAGAATTTATAGGGAATCCAGGGGGCGTGGTAGCAATGAACCCCACATAAAGCGTCCAATGAATGCCTTCATGGTGTGGGCTAAAGATGAACGAAGAAAAATCCTTCAAGCCTTTCCTGACATGCACAACTCCAACATCAGCAAGATATTGGGTAAGAAAAGTATTAAAGGTTAAAGCAATATATGGATTAAATGTAGAGTTCTGTTTTCTACACTTGTTGAAAGATGCTAGGTTTGGAGGCCAGCCAGCTCATGTTATCTGCGTATATAAAAATAAGCACCATCATTGAAGCCTTTTCTTCTGATGGTGAAACAGTCCATGTTCATTGAGAAATGTGCCCAATTACTACAGCTAATTTATTTAGTTGTGTGTCTCTTTACTAATTGTTGTAACACAATACAATATTAGTGACTATATTCCCTATGCTGTACTTTACATCCCTGTGACTATTTTATAACTACTAATTTGTATTTTTAATCCCTTCTCCTTTTTCACCCAGTTCCCCAAACTCCTCCCCTTAGCGGATAAGAGTTTGTTTCATATGAGCTAGTCAATATTGTTATCAACCATATTTATCTTTTCCTTTTTTAACTGTGGAATTCATCTTGTGGTGTGGGTGGGGTAGGGGTGGAGATGGTGTGTGCTCTAGGACTAAAACTGAAAGTCAGTGTACAATGTCGGGACTAGGAAGATGGAGATTGCACATTTCTATACTGCCTTTGCACTTCTGAGCAGATAGTATGGTTCATAGTTACCCTACCTGCATCTGTCCTGAAACACACTGGATGGATGGGTGAGGAGAAAGGGTGCTGACTGTAGAGACCTATTATTGACTGATTTAAATCCAAGAGAAGAGGAAGGGAAGATTCCATTTCTTTTGTGCATCATCACTCTCATTATTGACATCATCAGCATGTTCATCTTCATGTAGCGTGATGGCCATGTACTGGACAACCTAAACAAATTTTGATTATTTATTCACTGCCTTCTAAGTGGTAAATGATAAAAATATAATAGGAACACATAATTCTATCAACAAATTTTAGCTTTAAGAAATAGGTAACAATATTTGTCTAAGTTATTAAAACTTTATTAAAATCCACAATACATTTGGAACTACATGTAGTTAATATAGTGTCCCTTTTGAGTATTACATTAAGCAACTGACCACCTAGAGGTAGCTACTAAACATATACATGTGTTTTTATGATCCCACAACAATGGTACTCGATGCTGAGCAGTCCACAGTGAGCGTCTGTAAAGAGATCAAACAAACAAAAAATGCTAACCACTTAAACTTGTGTCTCAGTTTTCATCTGCAATGATTCTTTTTTTTTATTAAATTTTATTTAGTTACCTTTCAAGTACATTTTTTTTTAATCTATTTCTCCCATCCCACCCCACCACCACCCCCGCCCGGTCTCCCCCCTCCCTTCCATTCCCCCCCCCAGTCCTCATCCCTGTGTCTTTCATACTTGTTCCTCAAAATCCCTCCCCCTTTTTCCCCTTAAATTCCCTTCCCTCTCCCCTCTGGTCACTGCCCACTTGTTCTCTATTTCAGTGAGCAATGATTCTGAAATTTTTAAATGAATGTTGTTTTAAAAAAGAATATGAAGCTTTAGGTGTACCTAGAAAATGTGAATACTTAAGTATAAAAGCATATATACTTATATAATCAAATAATGGAACTGATGGAGGAAAATGCACATTTTTTTGCATTTTTTATCATCTCTGATCTATTTTATTCATTTTATGACTATTTTGTACCTGACACATGGACTTATTCATTCCTTAAAAATCATCATACCTATTTCATTTGGAAAGACTCTAGAAATGAATAAAATGCTTTATGTAACCATATTTCATATTTTATCAGTCATTTTCAAATTATTGGGTTGGCCAAAAAGTCTTGTTAGTTTTTTTCATAAAATAAAAGATACTCGTTTTCATTTCCACCAATAACTTTATTGATTTGGATATTTTGAGTATGTCAGCTATCTCCTGCATGGTATAACATTGGTTGTTCTCAATTCATGTCTCAACTTGATTGCTATCAACTTCAACTGGTCTACCCAAACAAGCATCGTCTAACGAGACATCCACAGCAGGAAACTTCGCAAACCACTTTGACACATTAGATCAGTCACAGCACCTTCTCCATATACTGCACAAAACTTTTTCTTGCACTTCAGTTGCATTTTTACCTTCCTTGGAATAATAAAGCATAATATACCAAAAGTGCTGCTTATTTTCTTATACCTTCTATATTAAAATGGCTACACAAAAATTCACCAATTGTGATGAGTTTTTTAAAATGCACACTGATATGACAGTGGTCACAATACAATCTAACAAAATTGTTTTGAATGAAGTTAAAAACAACTAAGTGCTACTAGAGCCACGTTATGAAAAAACCTAATGAACTTTTTGGCCAATTCAATAGAAGTCCCAACTGTAAAAGTAAAACCAGCTAAATACTAAGATTGTTTAGATTGTCTTTATGTCCCTAAACTCATCTGTCAGAATACTAAAAAGGCAATAACCACTGGTCAACACTTCATCCTGAGTATAAGAGAAATAGCAGTTTTGATGATGTGAAGTATTATAGAAAAATTTATCAAAAGCCTCTATTGGAAAGAGATGACTAGCTAAAAGAACTCATTTCTCGTTAAAAGTTAGGAATATTACAGTAACCGTATGATTACATTATAATAATAGACTACATGAAGGAGAGTACTGTCTAATTTCAGACTTTTCTATGAAGCTGCATTAATAAAGATATAGCAGGAAAAAGAAAACACTGAGGTGTTGGGAACCTCAATATTTAGTCATAGCTTCAAATAAATAAGTGATCTTTAAATATCCATGAGATTATTCTGAATGGCCATTTCATAAAAAAGTACAAAGAAAGCTTGATGTTGTCCTTTTTACTGATTGTTTTGGATAACAGCCTCCGACTGCATGCCACTAATTCATTCTGCTGAAAACAGGCGCTTGAGCTGGGTTGACATTTTACATAGTCTCTGGGGATCCTAGTTGACATTTTAAAGGGCTTCTAAGCATTTTATAATACCCTAAAATCTGGTTTTAATAAGCCATTCTGCTGAAATTGTTAACATAAGGAATCACCTTTTACTGCTTGGCACCAGATCAGGGAGTGGGGGACATCTTTTTCTGATTAGACATACAGTAGTTGGAGTGAAGTGTGCAAATTCATTACAGACCCCATGGAGATGACAGTGTTGCTCACATCAGGCTCTTCATTTTTATTGAATCGCCAGATTTAGAAAGGAAAAAAGCACTTTCAAGACCCCTTTTTCCTATCTTGTGAACATCTGATATTTTTCACTGAATCTTCCTCTTGTCATCAGAAGGAATACCCAGATGTCCTTCTCTACGTTTAATTGTCAAAGGCCAGTCTTCTGCCAAAACAAGGACCTTAGTCCTTGTCTGTGGTCCAGGAGAAGCAACCAGCCACACCGAGTTAAGCTGATGTTTTCATACTTTTGGAAATACATGAAACGCTTTCCTATCGTTCTCATCTAGTGGCTTCCAGGGGTTTACATCTCAGTGGTTGGACCTGCAAAGACATGGAAAACAGCACCTACCTTGTCATTTGGTTAATTCTATTCAGAAATTATTATTAAAGAATAAAACTGCATTTGTGCATATGTTCCTATAGCTTCTTGTACTTTCCTCAATTATAATTAAAATAATAAATTTATACTGTTTAATATATTTCTTCATTACTGCAAGAGGAACCATAATGACTCATCACTGTATATCCAGTAATTAAAACAGCATCATCCACACAGTGGGAAAACTGAAGAGTTTTCACATACCAAGGCAGAGTACTAGGAGGCATAAACATTTTCATTCCTTAGAGAAACATTCTTTTTGAGCTAATAGAGTCTTTAAACCTAGGGAAGTATCAGAGGCCACTCCTGTTTGAAATGAGAATGCTAGTTTTTTTTTGTTTGTTTTATATGGTGATAAAGGTAACTAGTGAATTTTAACTCAACCATTCTTCATTCATTTTTCAGTGTATTCCTATAATTATTCAGTAAATTATTTTTGGTCAGCTTGCTTTTTCACTCTATGACTCAAGGTCTGAAATCCTGGTATACTATACATACATGTAAGAAACTCCACAAAAAGAATTGATTCAGTTCAATAGTATTATAGGTTTATCTGTGAAAATAGCATCATGGTTTTCAAGTCCTTTTAGAAAATAATGTTGGGCAGTAAGGAATATGAGACTCCCTACAAATGACAATGTTGGATACTGCTAATTAAGTACAAGTTTGTTAAAGGAATAGAAAAATAAATTGTATTATTTGAACTGTAACCTAGGTTCTGTTGTAAATAAAATGAAGTCATGTTGGCTATCTAGATCAAAAAATATGTTTATAAATCTTTGTAACAGCTGGGTAGATATACCCACATAGGCAACATCTGTTTCAATAAGAAACAATTCTAAGGAAAGAGATAGTGCCCCTTGCACTGTATTCCTTCAATGAATATAACAGCCCATATTGATGAATTCTCTGAAAGAACTGTGCATTGGGAGTTATTTGCATTTGAGAGATGGAGTTATGTCTGAGTGATGAACCCATTGGAAAGCTTTTAAGATCTTGCTCAGGTGACTCTGGAAGGCAGGTAAAAACTGCAGTGCCAGTATGTATTTGGTAGGGATTGCCTCATTTCAGTTATTTGGATTTTTGCATTTGGGTAGGGTTGAACTGAATTCTTACAGATAAATACACTCCATCTGCAAATAGATTTTTTCACATGCTCAATAAAAAATAAATGTTACTACTACAACTTCTTTTAGTACTACACATAGGCATACTGATAGAATCTAAGCTTCAAATCATATCTATATGGAGAATTTGCATGAGCAATTTGTAATTAAGCTTCAGTGGTTGCTTTCTGCAATCCTAGTTGAATCCCAACCAAAACGAAAGGTAAAAAGAAGGGGGAAATTATTACTGGGTTTAATTAATTAAATTAAAAAATAATGAGTTAATATTATTAATGCATACTGCATCACGGGAAGTGACATTATATATTATTGACAGTGTTTCTTTAAGAGAAGAGTCTTACATGCCTGTTATTGAAGTTCTGACCTCTGCTAGATCACGTATAGTACGTGGGTGTGGGTACACAAAGACGTACATTACGGCACCCTATCAATTGCATCACCTGGTTTAGAGTCACAAATTTTCAATTTAATAGTTGTGTGACCTTGGGTAATTTACTTCATCTGTTTGAATTTCAATTTTCTCAGCTTAGGTATAAATGGACATAGGTATAAATGCTGTCTATCTTACAGGATTGTGGTATAAGGTAAAATTTAGACTTTTTATGTGAAATTTTTACACAATTCCTAGCACAAAGTTTTAAAAGAGTGCATATTTGTTAATGTAGTATTTGATAATTAAAATTTCAATGAAATGAATTTTAAACTATAATTTTTCATGTAAATATACTTAAACATGTTGAGAGAATGAGAATTACACGTAACCTTTAGAAACCTTTGTAGTAAGTAATGTATCCCCACATAAAAATACTAAAAACTATATAATTAACCTCAGATTCAAAATATGTAATGAGATTTTGCGTAATTTTTCAGTTCACACTTGAATTATAACATGGTCTAATATTAAAATGAAAGATATATCCTTTAAATTATGTGTGAGCTTTTAAGTACATACCAGACAACTTTGCCTAAGTTATTAATCCATGCCAGAAAAAATATATATATTGCCCAGATTTTGTACCTTTGGGTACACAGTTTCTTTGAGGACAGAACCACTAACACCTCCATCCTTGTGGAATCTCACCTCTAGAGTCGACGCTCATGAATCAGAAACATGATTATGTATTTCTGGGTTTGAGCCAACCTTTTCCCTTTAGGTTTTCTTGTTCCCGGGCATATCTTTTTAGCATCCTTAGCAGCTGTGCAAATTGGAATCCTAACCTTCTTTTTCTCACAGGGTCTCGCTGGAAAGCTATGACAAACCTAGAGAAACAGCCATATTATGAGGAGCAGGCCCGTCTCAGCAAGCAGCACCTGGAGAAGTACCCTGACTACAAATACAAGCCCAGGCCCAAGCGCACCTGCCTCGTGGATGGCAAAAAGCTGCGCATAGGCGAATACAAGGCAATCATGCGGAACAGGCGGCAGGAGATGCGGCAGTACTTCAACGTTGGGTATGGACCTTTCAGTCTTGTCTTTCTAGAGAGCACTCCTGTTACCCTTGATGAGATGTGAAACATAGTTGTTTAGTTGGCAAAGCAGGATTTTGAAAAAGAACCTCAACGCAGTGCGTTTGTAGAGACTAACCTCTCCCCCACAGGACCCTTGGAAAAGAGTGCATTCTTCACTCTAAGCTCTCAGAACGATGGCTCTAATGTGCACTTTGTTTACAGCTCGTTTGAAAATCTAATATCAGAAAGTAAAAAATTTTGAAGTTTGCTATTAAAAACTTTGAAGTGTTACTGGTTCTTTTCCTCGTTGGCTTTCATTACTTCCAAGGCTTGACGGAGATAAATGCCACCCCAACTAACAATTGAGTTGAGAAATCAATATAAAAATGATTTCGAAAGCAAGAAACACTGCTTTCTGAGTAGAGAGGGGTTTCCGGGCTATCCAGGCACATGTGTGACCTTTGTAGAGTAACTCTATTTAGGGAACACGCAGGTGTGAATGGGGAAGGTCCCTTCTGCATGAGGAATGCATCTCTCTCAGGATGTTTTACCTGCTTCCTACAGCAATGCTGTTGACCACCCCATAATATGCTTCCTGCAGCCATATCACTTCTGAATTTTCTCAAGAAAACACAGAAGTACAGTGCTCATATTTAGAATAAAAGCTAGTAAGATCCCAAGTGCTTAAGAATAAATACAGTTATGAAAATGGTCAGAGGATACCTTAGAAAAAAGGTATGAAAAAACTTTTACAGTCTGCCCCATCCCTCCATTCCCTTGAAAGGCTCATCTTGCTCCGTCCAAAGGTCTGTGATTTAGATGCCAGTGCCTGGCTCTTCTCAAAGCTGAGAATGAAACCCAGTACTTATTGGGGAAATAATGAGCATATGATCATATGAATGAATAAAAAATGCATGAATGAACACCATTTATTAATCCCTTTCTGCTAGGACCAGCTACATAATTTTTGGGTCCCAGTGCACAATGAAAATATGGGGACCCTGTTTAAAAGTTATTAAGAATTTCAAGAGTGTGACAACAGACCTTCAGGACAAGTGTAGGGTCTTTCTGAGCCCTTTAGCCCATACAGTTTCAGAGACTGTCCACCCATAAGTCTGGCTCAGTTTCCTGCCACCACCTAAAACTATGTCAGGGACTAGGAAGACAGTGATATTGTCCAGTTCTGGTGAGTTCTGGGCAGTAAGGTTTTTTTTTTTTCAGAGCTCTAATACTTTAAGATTTTCCCATTAAAATTGAATTATAATTCTTTTTAAAAATGTTTCTGCATGCTGTAGTGATGGAAAAAATTAACTTGGGATAAAGGACTCAGATTCTTTAGCTCAATCTTTTTGCACCTGCATTTTTTCATAAAATAGAATAGTAACAAAATGGAATTATCTTTAGAATCCAGTGAGTGACGCCTAGGTCTTATCATTTATAAAGCACTACATGGAAGTAAAGCATTAGAATCAAAGTAGGATACAATTTTTTAAATGTTGGGCAATAGGGTGAAACTCACTGCCTCAAGAGTTGGACAGACAGCCAACTCATTATATACCAAGGCCCGACCCTAACTCTTCACTCACCGTGGTCTCTTTTGGGGAATTTCTCTCTGACAGGCAACAAGCACAGATCCCCATCGCTACTGCTGGTGTTGTGTACCCGGGAGCCATCACCATGGCCGGAATGCCCTCCCCTCACCTGCCCTCCGAGCACTCAAGCGTGTCTAGCAGCCCAGAGCCAGGGATGCCCGTCATCCAGAGCACTTACGGTGTGAAAGGAGAGGAGCCACATATCAAAGAAGAGATACAGGCTGAGGACATCAACGGAGAAATCTATGATGAGTATGATGAGGAAGAGGATGACCCAGATGTAGATTATGGGAGTGACAGTGAAAACCATATCGCAGGACAAGCCAACTGATAAGGGTCAAAAGATTGTTGTGACCTTAGGACTTAAAGAAGCCCTAGCTGGTTCATCCTTACCAGTGGCCAAGCACATTAACTTTCTCATACACTGACTGTTACTTTAACTGTTAGTCTTAAATAGTTGGGACATCAGCTGACTAATAGACCTCAGCCTCAAAAGGCTTGGAAAGGAAACAATAATAACAACAACAACAAGCAAACAACAATATCAACAACAAGAGATTGAAATAAGCTATGGGTAAAATAATGCCAGTAATTCAGCTGCTACATTCAAGCACTGAAGTCTTACCCGTCAACTTTTTTTTTTAAATAAACTTTATGGCTGTTTGTTCTACAATGTTCTAGAAATTCTCACTCAGGTACACAGTGCCAACAAGTGGCTTGTGAATGTGTTTTGTTGTTTTGTGCTACAATTTTTAAAAAGAATTAAGTTTTGCTTTGTTTTGGGAGTTTTCTGGGGGTTTTCTTTTTCTTTTTCTTTCCTTTCCTGTTTTTTCTTTTCTTTTATTTTTGTAATGCACCTGACAGAAAAAAGAAAGACGAATTTCTCTTTACTTCTCTCCACCTTCTCCATCTCTGTACTTTAAAGATGGAAGTCTGTGCGTAGGGTGGGGGAAGAGGAAAAAAGAGCCTGTTTTTAACTTCCTTGCTATCCATCACAAAATAAGCAATTATTTTCTTTAGAGGACTCTATCTATTGCACACCACACTACATCTTTGAGCAAGTGCCAAATTTGTACTGAAGTGTTGACCCAGTGCATTTCTTTCCTTTTCTTTTTCCTGTTCCTTCTTAAGTTAGGACAGTGTTATATCTTAGACAATCCCTTGAAAAACCTGAAATACCAGCAGCTGGTGAGATTTGACTCTTTTTTTTTAATGGAAACTGTAGGTGCTGTTCTCAGGTGAAAAGAGAGAGAGAGACATAAGAAATTTAGAGAAAAATATTTTCTGATCTTGGATTTGTGTGTGTGCGTATGTACGTGTGTGACTATGGTACTAATAGGAATAACGTTGGACCATTGTGAGTTAAACCCACACCTGGGGATGAAATCCCACATCCTCTTAAGTGACTGGTCTAGAAGCAACCTTGACCTTGACTTTGCACTTCAAATGACAACTTAACCAATATAGGGCTCAGAAATTATATTTTTAAATTTCTAGTACAATTATTATTGGATGAATCAGGTGGCCCTGTACAAGAAACGTGTGCATGTATAATATGGAAGCTACTAGCAAGCTGCTCCCAGATGCCCCCTCTCCCTGGTCACTTGATTTCACTAACGTTTGCTACTTAATGATTTCTGTTTGTTTTTCCTGTTGATAACTTTGAGCAAAACAATTGTTTTCCTTGACTATATTGCCCATTTTGCAGAAATAGAGAATTAGCTTATTTCTTCAACATTCCCTCCTCTCCTGATGAGGAAATGGAACTGATGATTTCATAAGGTGTTTTTCATCTCTCCATTACACGAGGTGGAGGCCATTTGCATTTCAGAATTGTAGGCCACATGCCTCTCATGCCAAAAAGCAGGATTTGATTAAAAGTCATCGCAGCCCAGCACAATGGAGCCTGGCTGAACCCCACGATCTTTGCCGTCACTCTTCCCTCACTGTAAGACGAATCCACTGGAGTCCAAGTTTAGGTTCCAGCAGAGTACGTGCATAGAGCGACAACGGATGGTGACGGGACTGCTTATTTAAATTTTGCCAGCCAAATGCTAAGGCAGTAGGGCTTGTATAAATAAATGCAAACTTGTTTAAAGTCAGTTGCCATTGTTCATGCAGAAGTATCAGACAGTAAATGCTCCCACCGCTGGTTTGATGCGCTATGGTTTCAACTCCAGTCATCGCTTTCTTATCTTGCCCCCTTGAAACCTGACTCTAAAATTTGATTTTTACATATAAATAAGGAAAAAATCCTATTTATTTTTCTCTCTCTCAAAAGATTTGCTCTGGGGTTTTGCTTGGAGGAGCTGATCATATCCTGCATGTCAGAGATTTTGTTTTGTTTGTTTTTCTGTTTGTTTTTGATGACTGTATTTTCATTTGAACTGCCTCTTTTTTGCTAGTGTTGTAATAATGATGATGATGATAAAATAATAATAATAATAGTAATAATAATAATAATGGTCAGCTGTTCCCAGATTAGTAAGTTATGTATAATTTATTTCTCCCTTTCTATTCTATTCTGCTCTGATTTGGAAGTGCAGCCAATAAGCTGTTAGATATTTAAAGTGAATTTCCACACATACACACACACACACATCTACCCAGATAATTTTACTGATCCTTCCATAAGTTTTCTCCTTTAAAAAAAATTTGGCCCCAATAATGTCAAGTTCTGGTGTTTAATACAAAGGAGTGAATTAACAGGAGGGTCATAGTCAATCTTAATTAACTTATGCTCTCATAGTCATTTTAGTTATTTAATTGCCTCAGTCATCTAGAGCCAACTTTTTTGTTTTTGTTTGTTTTATTTTGTTTTTAAGCACTCTGGATAAGAAAAAATTAGACACTTGTTTTTATATCGTTATTATGTACAATGTGAAAACAGATTTTAAAAAATTTGTTCTCCGTCTTCATTAAGAAATTCTCTCTGATTTATGTGGGTTCACCTCTCACGTTTGCTGGATACTTACTTTACTCCATGTTATAAAAATACTTGGTTTTCATTTCATGACTTTGGGCTACAAGAATACTTTGTTTTAGCTCCAGGTAGATGCCACTTGAGGGCATTCATGGCTGAAACCAATTCTGACATACACACCGGTGAATCGACAAGACACCTCTGTCCTTTTTGTTTGTTTTTCAGTTGGTTGTATTTAAAAGAGAAAAATTGTTAATGGCGACCTTTAACTGCTGAAATTCGTAAGTTAATTTTATTTAGTTACATTTATATTATAAGAGACTAAACTGTTCATGGACTGAAACAAAAAACAAGTCCACATCCCAGCATTACAGTCTCTTGCTCTGACATCTCATTGGTGTTACAATTTCTTTGCCTTAGTTTTCCCCAAAAGAAACAAAAAAGTATATTAATGTTTAAAGTGCTTTGAAGTTATTTGATAAAGGTGCTATGGATAGCAACATACTGTGTTAACACATTGCCTTTTTGGCATTTGATTGGTTTATAACTTTTGTAAAGGATCCTAAAACTTTGTATGCTTTTTCTGTGCCCCGTGGTGACCAAAAAAGGTAAGGCAGAGGGAATGAAAGTAATATCAAAGTAAAATGAACATAATTCCCCTCCTCTTCCCTTCCTTTCCCTACTTCTGCATTCACCCCTCTCTTTCCCCCCTCCCCCTCTCTCTCTCCCTCCTCCCTCCCCTCTGACACACACACACACACACACACACACACACACACACACACACACCCCCCAGAACTGAGGAATAATCTTGCTAGAATTCTGCTTTTTACGGCTGTTGTACTCAGTTCCTCTGGAAATTGTCACGTTGTAATATGAATCTAAGAGAACATTACAGGAGAAAAGGAAGTAAATTTTGCTCATTTATAAGTTACTCATAATCCAGCTAGTTACTATAATTGATTAATATACCAAAACTATCCTTCAGCACCCATATACTTAAACTAGTTCAGTGAATTTTTAACATTTATTTGGCATCTGCAGTTAAGAGTTAACCATGTATAAAATCCCAACCCCCCAAGAACATAATTATTGTTGAAACCAAAACCTCTTATAAGGAGCAAATATAAGTTTTCTTTGATGAAATCATTTCATAGCTTTGGTTTCTGGAGTAGACTTTTACCTTAATTCATTTAAAAGTAATTATCTCGAAGTATTTCATGGTCCAATTTCAGATATTTTCTTATTCCAGACGTTGTTACTGTTCCCGGAAGAAACTTCTTATATCACATTGAAAACATCACAAATAATTACATTGTCAATCATTCTAATAGGTAAATTATTGAATTGTAATAAACAACTATATATTTACAAACAGGTTTATAAAATATTTGTCTATCAAGTTAATAGTAAGATAAAAATTATGGGGTCTGCAAAGAAAAATATGAAGCCCACTTAAAGTGGTTCAGATATCTCTTTGTCTTATGGGGCCTAGGTTTTTGTTTAGACAGGCTTTTACGGTATTTAATTTTAAAATCCCCTGTAACGATCAGCTTCCCAGGTTGAAAATGATGTTGCGTTGAGTTTTCTACTGATTGATTCCTGTCCTCCCCAGTGTTTCCGTCACTGGTTCACGAAACAGTATTTATATGGCTCCACCGGCTCTAAAGCTCGTCGTCCTTCTAACATTTTGGATTTTGTGAGTGAAAATGGTAAAAAAGTAGAAAAGAGACAATCAAATGCCTGGAGCTTAAAACAAAGTATGTGCAACCTACCATCTCACTTGAAATTTAATAAAATAAATAATTATGTAAATATAACATAGAGTTATAGATTTATATTTTGTTCATAACACATAGTGTAATATAAGTTGTATATTTTCATGTTTTTGGTTTTATGTTATCATTCATGCCACAATAAAAATAAAACAGGAGTTTATGTGCTCTTAAAAAAAAAGATGTGGGTTGCCACCAACCTGTTTTTGTTTTTGTTTTTTTTGTTTTTGCATTCTCTTTTTTTCAGTATTACTGCCATGCAAGGCACCAATAAAAACAGCAAATGTGTTCTTTACATATTATATTGTGTTTCTTTTCACAGTTATTGTTATGATGGGGCAATCAGTTTTATTAAGAAAAGAGCAAAATATCAAAAAAAATTGTTTTCAATATAAATAATCCCACTTCCTGAAGTTGACTTTAAACTGAAAATGAAGGCTTTAATTCTTAAAGGTGAACATTCCGAGAAGGACAGGCAGACTGTGTTAGAGCTTCACTACAATGTCTATAGACACCCCTCTTACATATATACTTGAGTTTGAACCTGCAGCCAAGAAGCACCCTTACTGTTATTTTCTGAAACCTGACACTTCGGGATATGTTGTCAACACTTCAGAGTTGTCTTTCATCCTGTTGCTTGTTTAAAAAATCTAAATTTCAGATTGTGAAATTATTAATAATTATAATTTTCAACTTCTTTTTGTCTAATTTAGAATAACAAATATTCTAAGTTGTTTAACAGTCTGACATTAGCCTCTGGATTCTACCTCCAACTTTTCAGCAAGTGTTGCACACAAAACATCTCCTTTTTTTCCAACGGCGATTTTTTGCTTTTCTCTCGAACCATTGTTATGTTTTTCTATTTAGATAGGTCTGTGTGTCATCGCCGCCTGCAAGGCTTTTTGTTTAGTCGGTTGGTTAGTTTTTTGAGTACGTATCAAGACACTGGGTCACATAACAAAATATTCCACAAACACATTGCCCACTGTACACCTTGGATTTTACGAGCACAGAATCTCGTCCGTGGACCACCTGATTCAGAATTTACTGTTAGAAATGTAGACTCCTGGGGCCAACTGCGGATGCAGTGAATCAGAATCTTTAGGTTGAGAGACAAAGCTGTTGCTGTTTAACAACTCCAGGTAATTATTCTGCACTCTCCCGTAGTTTCGAAACAGCCAGGAGGTGGGGCTATTTTACTCTCCCGTCTACCTTTTACTTGCATTCTGCAGATCCTGTTGTCTACCATACTCGATGTTTAAGCCTTTGTGAAAACTTAAGAATTTAGGGTCAGATGGGAAAGGGCACTCAGCCTGTGTCTTCGTAGGTTGTTTTGAGGGCATTTGATCCACAGGGACCATGCTTATACGTTATCCTTGTTTCCCTGCTTCTCAAATTCATCACTGCAAAACAGTGGGCTTCAGTCTCCAGGAGAACGGAACACTGAAAATATAACTGCAACACATAAACTACACCCACTGAATGTCTGAAAGACAAATTGAGGCTCTTTGGAAAGGAAAAAAACCACTAAAGTTGAGAAACCTTCCCTGTAGTGTTCATAACAGACCACCTATGCCTATGCTGGTTCTAGTCAGATCCTGCTTCTTCAGGAAGTAGCATCGTGAGCATAGATTCTAGGGGTGGGGCAATTGTGTCCAATGAAAACTGGGCTCACCCCAGGTGCTAAGTCCCAACCACCACTCATGTTCTCCTATCAAATAAAGTTCACTTAGTTTCATTTTGTGATACATCATCCATTTAGAAACATTATTTTCTTGGCCTTTATGTTTTTCAGTTTCTTGCGGAATATTTAGGAGTACCAGGCAATAAAACATGGTTTTTTACTGCCAATGCCTTGAACAACCAAATACTGGTAGTAGTGGAAAGAAACCCATTTTTGTAAATGTATCTCAATTTTACCAATTTTAGTTATTGATGTTTGAGAAAGTTCATATTTGTGTTTTTTAAAAATCGGTATACTGTCATTCTTACCAAATTTTAAAGCTCAGAAGTCATCCCTATTTATAACTTGACATTATCATTGAAACCTCAGTTATAACAATGGAGGTGAAAGTAAGCATGAATTAATTAGTACAATGCCTAAGTTAAAAATTATTTACAAAAAATAATTATTTTTCTTAGCTTCTAAAGCAACCTAATAGCTAACTGAGAAGACCTGTTTTATAAGTAAGCATTGTAACTAGTATGTAAAGTGTATGCAATAGTATTGCTAAAAGCTGTTAAAAATAGTGTTTTTTAAACAGGCTAAACATCTGTCCTACAATTTGTTCGTTCTACCAATTTGCTTAGCAAACTCCTTATACCACCAAGAATAAACCAGTTCAGCTCTGGTCACAATCTATCATCATTTTTTAATTAGATCCACACCCATGAGATTTTACTTCCCCTATTAGACCATTTTCTAAACATGCAAGTGAATATGGAATGAAATGGCACTTAGTTGCTACTCAAAATATAACCAAGAGGATGAAAGTTGTTTTATCATTGATACTGATGTCTCTACTGATTTAGTTTTAAAAGGAAAAAAATTAGCAGAACCACTGTAGGAATTAAGTAGGCCTAAGTAAACACCATCATTTTGTATATTGCTTGTTCAATTTAGTATAAAATTTCAGAGTCTGGAAAGCAAACTGTAAAATATATTTGAAATAAAGTCTTTTGTTAATAAAAAATCACTGCTGTGATAAGTTTTAAATAAATTCATGTGGTCCTGGTAGAAAGTTGGAGAAACCATAGAACATATTTAGATGATTGCTTACACAGATGACTGACTTTATTCAACTCACTCCAACACTGGCCCCCAGCAGGCATTCGAGTTGCCTCATATTCCAAACCTACAATTGACTGCAGTACAGTTTACAAACTGTGGTCGCCTGAACTTCAGTTTGACTCAGGACTACAGTCATTACTAGTAGGCCCCAAATAATGACACAAATTGTCCTTTTTATTTCAAAATAATTCTTCAAGCAACATTGTCTTATGCACAAATGGAATTAACAGTCTTCCTTATTATGATATAGCTTTTGACATCTGAAAAATAAAGTGAAATTGCCAATAGTATAACATTTGGGCACAAACAGCTAACTATAGATATTATTTTTAAAAATTAGGTTGTCTTCATTAAAGAGTTATCAATTTCCTCCTAACCTACTGATTCCACAGATATATAAGCATTGATATTATAGCATATTATGTCCCTTATATATTAGATCCTTGCTTATAGTATTCTCTGGTAGAAATTTATCTTTGTCCTGTATTGTTAAAGTGAAAACTAAAAGGCCACTTAATATTTCAGATACTTGAAGATTCTCAAAGTTTATGATGGCAAACTTTCAGAAACTTGACTAAATCTTACTGTTCACATCAATTTTAAACACACAAAGCTTGAGGTTGCATCATGAAAAGATGTTTAGACATTTTCATAAATCAAAAACACAAGTCAGGGAAAGTGAATGATGAGAAAGAATCAGGAAGCTGTGTAGTTTGTGTTATCTTAATGATTTGACAAATACTGAATAAATGACACTCCCCTCATTGGGCTAGTCATAGAAAGCCTAGCTCTTGTCAAAGTTGGTGAACGTTTGGCCCCTACTTCACCATGCTGGCGTTATGTAAGCTCCTAGGCTCATTCACCCATTTTTAAAACTTGGTGTAGTTTACAATACATTCAGAAGTTTGAAACTGTCAACACAGCACACAGCAAATAAAGGGTCAAAAGGTAAAGAGTAAGAAACACACACACTATACAAACACACATGCACACGTATATGGATTCCTTTTTATTTCTCATCTTTATGTCTCTACCTTTTGTCTCTTTACAAGAGTATGTATATGTACGTGTATACTGACTGAGAAGGACACTTCAATAACTGAAAAAAATTTGAAAAAAAGCTCTTATTATCATAGCAGTCAGGGCAAAACAAAAAAACTACATGAATTAGAGAATTCTCAATGCTTAATTGAAGGAAACATACAAGATTATCATGAGAAATAAAGCTTTATCGCCATTCATTGTCAGATGGGTGTCATGTTTAATGGATAAGGAACAATGCAAAGAGCCACTTTTTTGTAAGCAGATTTACAAAAGCTGTAGGTTTGTTTCATACAAACTTACTCTATCAGTCCTTGAGCAGAGCTTTATAAAGACAATTTGCAGGGGGTGAGAGAGAGAGAGAGAGTACATGAGTAAATAGAGAACTGTGTGTCTGGATTAGACACGGATTTACAAGGATAAAGCTGGGAGAATGACAGTTGTGATGAATATTTATCACATCACCTTGACTAGGTTTTTCAACTATCAGATGTTTCAAATTGGCTTTTAATTATGCTATCTTCAGTATTGTGATATGTGTATGCAAGTTACACAATGTTTCTTCTCTCAACATTTGTAACTTCCAAGGGAATAAAGCTAACATACATTAAATAATAAAACAATATAAGACTGTAACTCATGAACTAGAATCTATAAGTGGTACAGGATTATCAATGAAAACAAGAATTATTTTATATTTACTGAGACTTCACCTTCTAAATAAATGGAACAGGTATTGAATGGACAACCTCCCACTCAAACAATGAGAAGAAGCTGGAAAATACAAAATTATGTTTTAAAGACATTAGAAAACTATGGAAGAAATAAGGACTAGGTGTACCACAGTTCTAGAAAAGCAAGAATCTGCTCATAATTGCTAGTCATTTTTATTTATTGAAGGCATTAGCGAATTCTGGGGTGATATAATAGACTTGACGACTTCTGGCTGAAAGAGAAAATAGCCTAGCAGTTGTGTGGATCTGAATTGATAAATTGGAAACTTGAGGGACCTCAAACGCAAGATGGTTTTACGAATGGTATATTTGATGAGTTCCGGGGCTGTGAGGGATGCTGGAGGTTTATAGGGGAAGTTTTTAGAAGAAAAGTTAAAGTCTCCTGCTGACAGTTAGGGCTCAGGAAACAAAGGCCAGCCGACGCCATGGGGCCTGCAGCAACTGTGCAGCCAGTCTTTTCAAAATACCTGCCAGCTTTTACGTTCAAGAGGCAGAGTCCTGGAGATTTGGGCTGGAAGTTTTAGAAGAGCAGACCCGACCGAGGAGGAAAATGCCCACCATGCTCACAAGTAAAGCTTGGGAGAAATTATACTCTCACATAAATGAATGTATGCTAAGTATTGGTAAATTTTCGAAGCAACCTTGGTACAGCTAAATCTCTGATACAAGTAAAATGATCAGTCCTTCACCCTCCCTAACACAAGCATGG